TCGCTCATTCCCGCACCATTTCCCAGGCCAGGGCTGGCGGGAATGAAAGTGGTCCCCCTGCCGCACTCCCGGGAGCAGTTCCAGCCGCAGCCGCTGTGACCTGCGTGGTGTGCGGGGCTCTGGAGGGAAAGCCACCGGCTTCGCCGGGCGGTGTCTGCGGAGCCTTCAACGTGAATGGCTTCCCGGAGCTGAGCAGGGCGGCTCCTTTTAGGCAGAGAAGCCGGGGGGCGGTGGAGTCGGCATCTGGCCAGGAGGTCGTGGTTGAGTTGGAGAGGCCTGTGGGGGTTCCAGCTCCTGCTGAGGAGCCGGCTCAGGAGAAGGGGACCCAGGCCAGGGACAGGCATTGGCCGGGGAGCCTTGCGGGAGGCGGACGGCGGGGCTTTGTGCGCTGAAGCTGGCACTGAAGCCTCCAGCGCAGCGGCCAGGAGGCGGGACAGTGGGTGAGGGGTGGGCCTTAGGGGCGAGGCAGCTCTGACCTCGTCCCAGGCTGCCCTGCGGACACCCCTAAGGGAAGGCCCCTCAGGGAAACTGAGGACAGGTACCAGTGAGCCCAGAGCCGGCACCGACCCTGCTTCCGGCCCGGCTGCACTGCCAGGAGCAGGGCCGCTCTCCCGCCACAGCCCAGGTCAGCACCAGGGCCCATGGAGATGCGCCCGAGATCCCGGGTGGGCGAGGCCTTGTCCCCCCATCTGCCACCCCCAAGCGTTTAGCTCATGTCCCGGAAGTGCCTGCCCCGTGCAAACTGCCAGGCGACCAGGAGGGCACGGCTCCTCCCCATGGAGCTGAGAAGCTCATCCCAGGGCTAAGGCGATGGGTCCTCGTAGCAGGTCCTCGTGGTGCAGTCGTGATGGGCGGGCAGTGCCGCAGGCTCCGCCTTGGGCTCTGAGCTGGTGACCTCGCACCTATGGCCTCAGGTAGGGGTCCTCGCCTGCCCAATTCCCCAGATGCCCGTGGCACCTCAGACTCATGTGCCTGAGGCTGGCAAACCCTGGGTGCTGGGCGCCCCCCTGATGCCACTGCTTCAGGTGCCACGGATCCCACTGGTTCCAGCCTTCCTGGCAGCTCCGGGGCTACAGCACAGGCCAGGCCAGGACACGAGGGAGGGCATTGCCTCCTGAGCAAAACGGCAACGCCTTCCTAGCAAGGCTCTCCCTGCCTGCCGGAGGCCGGAGGCCGGAGGTGCAGCCGCCTCCACAGACCCTGCAGCTCAGGCATGAGGACTGGGCACCACTGATCACGGCGGATGGAGGGATGTCGCTACAGTCCTGTTCCCTCCAATCGCCATCTCCTGGCGTTTTTCTTCTGCAAAACATGTAAGCCCACCACACCTGTGGGGCTTGCTGGCGCTCCAGGTGTTCCTGATTGCTCCATGCTCCCGTGTCTGTCTCCAAGTCCTCTGGCTGGCCTCTTAAAGAATTCTGGATCATTTTTGTCCCTCCCTCATCTCCTCCTAGTTCAGGCCTGTCACCTCCTCCTGCACCAACGTGACAGGATCCTGGTGGCTACTGCCTCTGTGGCTCTCCCTTCAGTGCACCCCTGGCTGCCAGGTGGTATTTCAGACACACTCTGGCCACAGGACGCCCACGTTTAAATACCCAGTAGTTTCCATTTCCCACATAAGCCCAGATCCCTCACCCAGACCTGAGGACTTGGCCCCTAGCCATCTTCTTCCATTTTCCTTCACTCCCCCTCTTGAATTTACTGCCCCAGTAACAGCTGAGCCGCACGCCCTCTGCCTTCTGTCCACCTTTTCTGTGCTGTGCTGTGGCCAAGCAGCCTCAGAAAGGACTCTTCCCTCACCTGCTGATGTCCCCGCCCCCTCCCCCTTCCCTCACCTGCTGATGTCCCCGCCCCCTCCCCCTTCCCTCACCTGCTGATGTCCCCTCCCCCTCCCCCTTCCCTCACCTGCTGATGTCCCCTCCTCTTCAGCCCAGGGTGGACTTGTGTCCCAGCCTGTGTCCTGACAGGCAAAGTCTGGCACCAGGGGTGGGCAGTTGGAGGGACCTGTTCAGTGCTCGCTGGGGCCTCCAACAGTCCACTGGGAGCCTCAGCCCAGGGTGTGTAGGAGGGGGGCTGTCATAGAACTGCTGGGTCCTGCTGAGTGCCCTGCCAGCCCCGCGTACGGCCTGGACGCGCTGGCTCTGGCTCGGACACCCCTTAGGAAATTTTGGTCCCCGAGTTTACCTTCCCCTCCTTGTCCTGCGAGCTAATCTTTATTTTTTTCACAAGATCTTTTTATTATTATTATTATTATTTTATTACACTTAGTGATACTTTATTTTTTAGAACAGTTTTAGATTAAAAATTTGATCAGAGAATTGGGAGGGTTCTCATCTACTGATGGGCACTTAGGCTGTTTCCAGATCTTAGCTATGGTGAATTGTGCTGCTATGAACATATGGGTGCACATATCCTTTCTGATTGGTGTTTCTGGTTTCTTGGGATATATTCCTAGAAGTGGGATCACAGGGTCAAATGGGAGTTCCATGTTTTGTTTTTTGAGGAAACTCCATACTGTCTTCCATAGTGGCTGCACCAGTCTGCATTCCCACCAGCAGTGCACAAGTGTTCCTTTTTCTCCACATCCTCTCCAGCACTTGTCGTTTGTTGATTTGTTGATGATAGCCATTCTGACAGGTGTGAGATGGTACCTCATTGTTGTTTTGATTTGCATCTCTCGGATGATTAGTGACTTTGAGCATGTTTTCATATGTCTCTTGGCTTTCTGAATGTCCTCTTTTGAAAGGTGTCTATTTAGATCCTTTGCCCATTTTTTGATTGGATTGTTTATCTTCTTTTTGTTAAGTTGTATGAGTTCCCTATAAATTTTGGAGATTAGGCCCTTATCAGATATGACGTTGGCAAATATGTTTTCCCACGCAGTGGGTTTTCTTGTTGTTTTGTTGATGGTTTCTTTTGCTGTGCAGAAGCTTTTTATTTTGATGTAGTCCCATTTGTTCATTTTCTCTTTAGTTTCAACTGCCCTAGGAGCTGTATCAGTGAAGAAATTGCTTTGGCATATGTCTGAGATTTTGTTGCCTTTGGATTCTTCTAGAATTTTTATGGTTTCCTGTCGTACATTTAAGTCCTTTATCCATTTTGAGTTTATTCTTGTGTATGGTGTAAGTTGGTGGTCTAGTTTCATTTTCTTGCATATATCTGTCCAATTTTCCCAACACCATTTATTGAAGAGACTATCTTGGCTCCATTGTATGTTCTTGCCTCCTTTGTCAAATATTAATTGAGCATATTGGTTCGGGCTAATTTCTGGACTCTCTATTCTATTCCACTGATCTATATGTCTGTTCTTGTGCCAGTACCAGGCAGTTTTGAGAACAGTGGCTTTGTAATACAGCTTGATATCTGGCATTGAGATCCCACCTACTTTGTTCTTTCTCAGGATCGCTGCAGCTATTCGGGGTCTTTTTTTATTCCAGATGAATTTTTGGAGAGTTCGTTCTAGATCTTTGAAGTAGGCCATTGGTATTTTAATGGGAAGTGCGTTGAATTTATAGATTGCTTTGGGTAGTATGGACATTTTAATGATGTTGATTCTACCAATCCAAGAACATGGTATGTTCTTCCATCTCTTTATGTCTTCCTCTATCTCTTTTTTCAACGTCCTGTAGTTTTCTGAGTAGAGGTCTTTTACCTCTTTAGTTAAGTTTATTCCTAGGTATCT